CCTTCAGCATTATGAGTATTTTCAGAAGTTAATTTTTCAATGTTGTAAATTACTAACACGCAAAGTGATAATATCATCATGCTTTAACTATCATAGCAAATTCTGTCAGAATCATCATCATGTTCATTTATGAAAATAAAGCTCAATGTAAACAGAAAGGGAAAAGATAACTGTTTTATTCTGTATTTTTCCAACATAACAATCAGAACATTAACCAATCATGTTTCTATTAGCAACATAACGAATTAAAATGTACAAAAGCTTTTGTCGATTCTTATTCTATTAGAATATCATTGAACATTCTTGGAACATGGAGAATGAAATAAACTCCTGGATACATCAAGAATGGAATTCAGTGAAAAGTCAAACCATTTTCCACTTTCATTCGTTTCGAGTTAGATCAACTTGAAGGTCACATTTCGCTTACACTAATAGGAAAAGCTCTATTATCAATATATTAATGGAATCAAGTGGTTCGGGTGTTCTGGGCTCATTTTCATGTTTCTGTCATTGATTCTTGTTATTCAAACCAAGAAAAGAGTATTAATAATAACCAGTGGAAATGTGATCTTAAGAAACATGGTATTGGTTTTGAATAACGATGTTTTTACCATATACACTGGAAATCATAAGAATATCAGTTTCATGGGAAACTCATGAAAATATGAAAATAATTCTAACCACATTGTATTGAGATGATTTCCAGGATCAGATGAGTGATTATCAACATGATACCATGAATTTTAATCGTGAATTAGTTGAATAAATTGTTGACTTTATCAATGAGCTCTCATATCTCGATCATTTTATCAAACTTATTAAACTGATAATAACTGTTTTCACGTTCTGACAGATTATCCTTGAACTTTTTCATGGCACATATCAAATTTTTCTCATTTATTTTCTTCTTTACATCAAATAATCAATATTGGTTACTGACGATTCAATGAAGGATAGATTTTCACCTAATACCATGATATCGATATGATGAGTCTCAAGTTGGATAATCTTATCTGATAAGTTTGATTTAGTGCATCAAATATATTCAGATTGATGGTAATCATCCCATGAGAAGAAAAAAAAATCATCACATCATGTCAACAGCGATTCAATATCAATATTTAGTTCTAATCTTCGTATTAACAATTTGATAAAAGAAATGAACTTGAATTTAAATGAACTCTTGGTGAATGAGAATTGATTCAGGGTTATTCGAATTAAACTTCGACATGATGTTAGATAATTGAACCATAACATGAGAAGCAGTTGAAATTCAGAATAGTAATGAACTTTGAGGGAAAAAAAAGAATTTGTTTAAATTAAAGTAACTTAATACAAATGAATTCCCATTGAGATGAACTAATAAGGGGAAAACTAAGATTACAACTCATGGAATCTAATCAACTTACAATTGAGATAATCATGATTACTTTTGATTAAACAAAAAGGTTGCCCAATCTGCTGGTATGTTGATTCAGATCAACATCAACATGTTAATAGCACCAATTTTTTTCTCCCTTTCACTTTAGTTACAATGAAATTTTACTCATCCTATTATCGTGATTATTATCATTGTTATTATCAGTTCAAGATCAGAATACTAATGTAATGATTGTAATGATTATCATGAAGATGAAATTTGAAATCTAATGGGTTCTCATGTAGTTTTGTTGATATTTTTTCATTCAATTCTGTGAGTTGACAATGAAATTTTGTTGTTACCTTGTCTTCAAAATTAAAATTAGACAAAATAAATTGTTATCGTCACGAAAACTGTTCAAAATTGAGCTAAAGTTTCAAGTAATATCATGACGATGAGTTTACCATAAATTTTAATATATACAACAATCTGATTGTTAAGAGGCAATGTAAAAATGTTATTATTATTTTCAAGAAAGAATCTCAAGATTAGAATTTAATTTCATGATAAAAACGAAGAAAAAGTTTCATTAGAAGTGCTCGATTCTGATTTGGGATGAAAAAATGGCTTCAAACCTTATGAATAAGGTGAATTCATTTCTCAGGGTGAAAAGACTTGATTGAGTTCAATACTTGATTGGAAATATTGATTAGATGTATTTCCAAATTCATCATGAAAATTGTGTACTGAGTAATTTTGCTGGAATAATAATTTTGTATTATCATGAAAAATTTCTCGTTCAATTTTGGCAGTAAGATGGATTTTTATTAGAGCCTTGAGAATAGTGGTTTAAGAATATCTCTTAACAATAATAGATTAAGTTGAAGGTTCTTCAATAATATCATTAGATTCATGATGATACTCAGAAGATTAAGTTAAAAGTTCTGTGTTTGTTTGGATAAAAATATTCTCATGAAATGAAAACGATGTAAAAATTTGTTGCTAAATGAATTTTCAGTTCGGGTCAAGAAGTCGAGTTTAAATGTATTAAGTTCAACTACGATAATAATAATAAGTTAGAATCATAATTATATGTGATTTGGGTGTGATACAAATGACGTTGGTATCCAGGGGATGATGAGGATGATAAAAAATAATAATCATGTTAATAATGATAATGTCTTACTCTTTTCTTTTTATTTTCATCCAAATGGGATGATGATGATAAACGAATGATGAAATGAACGAGGTGGTGGATGATGAAGGATTCATTGTTGTCTGAGTCTCAATTGTAAAGGGAATTGAAAGAGATGAAAACAACGAGATAATGTTGATATTCATTGAATGTGACAACATTGTGAAAACAAAAGATTAACAAAGTAACGTTCATCTTATTCAGGAGAAATTCATTTTATCTCCCCTGTTGGAAAAAAACGAATCTCTTTTCTCACCATTACCTCTTATCTTCCGGTCGTAGCTTCCGTTTCAAATTGTATACTCATAACCAGAATAATCTTTATACGAAATTTAAAACATTTACCACCAAGATGATAATCTTACTGACAGTTTCATGATATCATGTTGATATTGATCAATTATATTAGCATTTTGTTGCGTTCATTATTGTGATATTAAGATGATAGGAAGTTCATAATTGAGGAGATAATATTTTCCTGAATCAGATTTTATCTTTAACTTTCTCTCCTTCTCTTGTGTCCAGATTCACATGATATCAAGAATCTGAATCACTCAGTAAATTCAGAGTTTCTATTGATTTGGAACTTTCTATTTTTTTCTTCCTCACTTAACCTTCAACTTTTCGTTATTTTTAACTAATACAATGTACGAGAATCTAATGATGATGATGATGAAAAGAGGACGAAGAGGGTGGGGCAGGTAGGAGGATGCTGAGCAAGGTAAATCCATGTGTAGCTGGTATTGTTTGTCTCTTAAAGATCAAGTCAATTGGACTTAAGGAAAAAAGTCTCATGATAATAATGTTTAACTCTGAGTTTCCGAATTCTGAGTTTTCATGAATCCTTCAGACTCAACAGTTTTCAGATTATTATTATCATTTCTGCTGCTCTCAACAAATTGAAATAATACATAAAGAAGAAAGTTCCATTGATCTGAATCCGATCATGATTTAGAAAAATACTTTAACCAATATTAGAACTTTTTTTCATTCTCTCTCTCTCTCTCTCTCTCTCTTTCGTTTTTTCAATGTTCGTGATAAACTCAGGATATTCTTTGTTACTTTCCTCAGGAATCAGATTGAAACTCAATTGAGTTGCAACAATTGAGTTTCTGTAGCTTCTTAAAGGTTGACCAATTCAATTCAATCGAAATCAATTGACCTGCAATTAGAGTCAATTCTTACTTTCTTATTATCATGATTATTATCATGAAAATGATAAGACCTTTAAACATTATGATACTTGAGGTAAATAAAAGTTATAACTTATTAAGAAAATATTATTATTGATTTATTAATATTTATCAAGAGACATTACTCAGACCTGATTTTAGTTCTTAATTGTAATTATTTTAGGGAATTAAACATGAATTATATTCCGATCATTAGTCTAAATCGTTTCTTTGAATCGATAGTTAAAGTTTCAAATTATGAAATTCGATATTTATTTTCACCCATTCACTGAATGTGATGATAAGAAGACTCTTGAGTTAATAGTCAATAAGATTAAGTATCTGTCTATGAAGTTTAATCTTGATTCATATTCATGATTTGATTGGTGATAATTTTCATTGATTCAGATAAACATTATCAAGAATTATTAGTTATTAATAGTCACTTTATTTTAATTGAGTCAATCAATTCCCTGTTAATGTTTTATTACCAAGAGAATCATTTTATACATTTTCATCATGATGATAACCATGATGATTATTATTAATATTTTCTTCATGGGGAATTTTTTGGAGGATAAAGTTTCTGAATTTTTGCTATGAAAAATTGTGATGAAATTTTTCACTCTGATATTTATTCTGTTACTGAAGAAGATGAGAAAGAGAAGTTCTGATGATGAACGGAAAAAATAAATATTCGATCAAGAGAAAAATAGAAAATATCTTATTGTATCTTCTCTACTTGTTCCATGTTACATGAAAACCAATCTTCTTCTCGAAGGGAATGAAAAATAAGAAGATGAAATGATTATACGAATAGAGAACAAAATGATACAGGAAACAGAATCGAATAAGAACTTTCTCTCGAACTTTAATTTTCTGTTTCATGTTCAATTCTATTCTACAGTACAAGATAAACACGATGAGAACGATGAACATGAAGAACACGAAGAAAAGGTTGAAAATAGAATCGAACTCTCGAAAGGTTCAAATGTCCATCTAATGAATTTAAATCAACATTGACCATCGAAATGCTCTGAGTAATCATTAGCACCATTCGTGAAACAATTGGTTTCAATTTATCGAATTTGTTGTTTAGAACTTTTTTCAAACTAATTTCCTTGGGCAATTAACCTACTTTAATTGTTGGTGATTCAATCGACGAGATAATTTCTCGGTCTCAAGAGGCTAATCAATATTAGGCATCAATTATAATGATAATCAACATTTAATGACAATTGTAATCAGTTGATTGTAAAAGTGATTAACTTACCATCCACTTTCAATGTGTATCCACAATTAATGTTGACAATTAACATGATCAAGAGTCTAATTAGACTCGAGTTGCTTGTTGACTGTGTGGTGATTAAATTTGATTGTGAAGCCATGAATCCTTATTGATTGTAATAAAATTGATTAATTAATTATATTAATTGACTTAAATGACAATTAAAAAATATTGGAAACACAAAGTTGATCACTTTAAATCCAAATCAATTGTCATTGTTATTATAATCCAATTATGAGATATGATCAGAACACAATTAAAAAGACACGCAATTAACTTTTACACACAAATAAACACAATTAACTAATTGACACTTAAATTATTAATTTGTTTGTCCGCAGTTGATGTTGATTAAGTTCAATGATCCTAATTGATTAACTGTCATGTAACAATTGAACATAAATCTAATTCATCGGTAAGAATTTACCTTAACAGTTAACATAATTGTTGATAATCATCAAAATTTGCCAATTGTTGATGTTGATTGTTGAGCCAACAAAATTGAACGAAACATTGGACCATTTGCTTTCCAAGCTCGAACTGTAACTGAACTTTTTTTCTAGAACAAATTCCAAGTTCGATATTTTTTACTTCGAGCATGAGCAATTTACTAAATGTTATAATGATGAGACTTAATCATAACTTTATTATTGTTTGTCTCTGTTAATTGTTACAATTAGATGTTCTCATTTTCTTCAACAAATTAATTTCTTTCTCTATTCCATGGCAAAAGACCTTCGACAATTAATCTAATGGATTTTCGGAATCACTATGTTATTAAATTGAATTTGATCAATAAAGTTAATCGTTTTTTTGTTTCACTTAAATCATCAATTTTTAATTGTTATCGAGTTAATTTTCTAATTGGACTTTTAATTGAATCTTTAAGTGAATAGTTTATTAATATCTTTTTTTTTCAGAAATTAATTGCTCCCTTTAGGATAAGATTCAGATACTTTTTTAATGTTCCGAGTAATTAAAGGTTATCGTTAATTGTTATTATCTAATTGTCAAGTTAATAGTTTTCAATTGTTACATTATTACAAAATTAAACTGATTGATTATTGGCCTAATTATTAGCAACTTGCTAATTACAATCTTCCGTTCAGTCTTATTGATTAAATGATGAAATTGATTGTACATTTCGATAGCATTTTAATCAGCAAATTAATTAACCGAATTAACGATAAACAGCGACATCTGTCGAGCTTAAGTTCTAACTCGATCATCTGTTAAATGTTTTGATCTTTTTTTTTGATTTTCATCAAAATGTCTTTAAGTTTAATTGTCTCTCGATCAATTAATTGTCGCTCTTTTTTATTACCTGTAAATAGATCATTATCTTTATCATGCTGTCCACCTGAGAATCTCATGGACGCTAATAAATATGAGAAACTAAGTGAAGAAACTTTGGAATCGTTGTGTCAACAATTTGAAGAGATCATTGAATCACAATCTAAATTGGATGATAGTGATGTCGAGCTTAGTGTAAGTAATTTTAGACTTTAATTGTTATTGCGAATTTAAGATTCTCTAATTGTGATCTTCCCCTTGATAATGAATCTTCAGAATGGTGTCTTGACTGTTCAATTGTCTGGTAACGGTACTTATGTGATCAATAAACAAACACCGAATAGGCAGATTTGGTTGTCTTCACCTTTCAGGTGAGTTAATCAATTACCTTGACTGTTAATCGAAATTAACAATTTAATTTGTCATCTTCACTATTTCAGTGGTCCTAAAAGGTATGATTGGGTCCCTAGCTCGTGGATTTACAAAAGAGACAAGACGTCGATTCAGCATCTATTAAATCAAGAGATATCTCGATATGTTGGTACAAATGTTAATTTCGACTTGGATTGGTTATCAAAATTTGAATAGAATTTTATAAAAGTTATTACATTACAATTACAATTACAATTACATTGTTTAGCTTAATTTATGTAAAATCTAATCTCTTGTTGATTGGGCGAAGTCGATTACAATTCATCTGATTTCTACACCAAATTTATCTACAACTTCTTGTTCAATCTTTTTGTGCACTGAAAGAGCTGATTCTCTGCTAATTGATCGGTCAAATCCTCTGTAGACTATTTTAAAGCATTGTGATCTTCGACCCTGTTGATTAACATAATCATCGGTTAAATCGACAATTTCAATCAAATCTTCTCCCAGTGATCGACATAAGTCGTAAAAATCATTAGACGACCAATTCACATTCTCTGGTATCCAAAATGAAATGTCAAATGTTCGTGAAGGAAATTTAGAAATTGGTTTAAACTCGTAAGAATCGGTTGGCTTGAGATCTCGAAATTGAATCAAATACGCTGGATCAAGTGACCAGAATAATCTAACGTCCGGAATATTATATCGAACCATAGCCATTCGTTCAATTCCAAATCCTAGTGCCCATCCTATTCTATCATTGACTCCGTTGTTGGTCAGAATTTTCTCTTCAACGATTCCCGAGCCAACGACTTCTAACCATTTACCATTGTACAATATCTCGAATTCCCAACTTGGATGAGTGAACGGAAAATATGCTGGAACCCACCTTGACTCGAATTCACCATTTAATAAGAATTTAACATAACTCTCAATCTTCTCTTTCAATTTGACTTCGACTATTGCAGTAGCTTCTGAGCTATAATTTTCTTGACTTGTATCATTCCTTGTACCTTTTCGCTTTTGTAAATTGTAGATAATTTCAACTAAAAGAGAAAGGAAAATATTGTTATTCTTGATTCAATTTACAGAGAGAGAGAGAAAAGAAATCAAAATACTAACATCTTCAGCTGTGAATGTATCAAATGCTTCACATTGATGGAAAACAGGGTAATGATTACGATCAATTTCATCTCGTCGATAAACATCACCGATACAAATGAATTTGGTCTTTCCACTGGCAAGACAATGATTCTGATGAGCTGAGGTGTGAGTTCTTAGAAGGAAATCTTTACTCAAATAGTAGCTGTCCTTCTTTGATCGAGAAACATGATCCTTTGGGATTAGTAAGGCATCGAAATTATCATTTGGAGTAACGATTGGATTATCAAAATGAAAATTATGATAACCATTGAAAAAATGTTTCGTCGCCTCGGAGACCAAATTGATTGGCTGTTTACCTGTGGTAACCAGATCTCGCTGTAAAAGTTTAACGATATAAGGTGTTAAACTGGTCCATTCATCTTTCTGAAAATCTTGACCGTAAACCCGAAATTGATTATCATTAATTTCAAAATAAGAATCCGATCGAGATGCAAAGTAACGTGAAGAACCAGAGGAAAACAAAGATAACACCGAGAATTTGGATTTACCAATTGATCGATTAACAGAGAATCCAAAAGTGATCAACATACTGATTGAAGATAAATAGAACCATTACCATTAAAACTCAATGATAAAAAGAATAAAACTCGATAATTAAACAACCGAAACCAATTAGAATTGAAATTAATAACGTTGATGGAAAGGTAAACAAAAACATGGAAAATTTGTTCATAAACAGTTGATTTTTCATAAAAAGCGCTTTTTGGAAAAGCGCGAATTTCAAAGGGTAACGATTGAAATTCTAATTTTGTTCTTAACAGTTCGAGAAAAATATATTATATTATTCAAATCGGTTCCATTCCGATTGGTTCGTATCAATTTCCGTGGATATTTAATACAATTAATTAATCAGAGATCGGTTTAATTCTGGTAAAAGTTTTCGGGATTTTCTTTTGAAAGATTTTAGTCAAGTTACTCTGATCTTCTTTATTGTTTATATTTGTATTCAAATGTGAGTAAATTAGATTTACCTTGTAATATATTGATCAGAAAATTGCTAATTACAATTGGTGTTCTTTATTTACTGAGTCGACAATTAATCAAACAATTTAAATGTTTACAAATTTAGAACAACGAAAGTGTTGCCATCTATTGGCTTTTCTACGCTTCACATGATCAGCTTATTTTCTTAATTTTTTTTCATTTCTCTTTGGTTTTAATTGTAACAATTAGTAAACTGTAGATTAATTTGCTTTATTTCTATTTGCTATTTTTGTACTTATTGTTTTGTCGTTTATAACTGGCATCATTATAAAGAAGTGTTAATCTGTAATTGCTATTGTCTGACTGGTCATTTAAAAAGCTTTCTTTTCATTTGATGTTTCATCTGGTTTGAGTTTTTCTGTTCATCTTTGTGATTGCCTTCATGATTGATTGATTGTTTTTTTTGTTTATAAAAGTTAATCATTATTACTGTGATTGGTTTGAATTTAAATTTGGAATCATGGTTACTAATATTGAAGATTCTGTGGTACCGGAAGAACAACCTGATGATTCGGTGGAAAAGGAATCTCTAATCGAATATATTAAAGAGTGTGAAGAGAAATTCCGAGTAAAATCTGAATTGAGAAGTTCAAATGAATGTTCAGATTATACTGATACAGAAGAAATCCTTCAGGGATTAGATTGTGGTGTAAAGAAAAACTGTTCATTTGTTAAAAAGCTACGAAATATGACCGAAGGTCAAAAGGAAAGTCTAATTAAAGACATGTTATCATTAAACTTATCCAAATACATTTCTGAAGTTGCTGGAGCTCTGGTTGAAGCCAAATTGAAAATGTCCGACATCCCGATGGCCATTAAAATATGTTCACTTCTCCACCAACGATATCCCGATTTCTCCTCTCAACTTCTCGACTCTTGGAACAAAAGTTTACCCAAGAAACCAAGTGACTTGGCCAATCTAAATCTCTCCAAGATGAGAATCGACATTCGCTTCTTTGCCGAACTAATCACTTCGGGTATATTCACCCTTAAAGAAGGTCTTCCCATCCTTGGTAATCTATTGACCCTTTTGGTCACTAGTGACAAAGACAATCACAACAATATCAACATCATATTAACATTTTGCCGTCACTGTGGTGATGATTATGCTGGACTAACACCCAGAAAGATGAGGCTATTGTCCGATAAATATGATTTACCTTTGATCAAAAGTGACTTTTTACCGTGTGACCGTCAAAGGGGACTGAGGAATCTTCTTAAAGATTATTACAAGACTTTGGCTGTTCACATTGTTCGTGATCATAAATCGCTTCAATCGCTGGAGAGACAAAATCGACGGACCTTGATATCTAAAGGTGAATTAAGTGATAAACGTAAAGAGAAATTTGAACAAGCTCAAATTGCTTTTCAAAAACTATTATCAGCCAGTCAACAATTAGCTGATATTCTGGATGAAGATTTACCCGAATTACCTCCAGACTCTCCTGATTCACTTGATGACATGGACGAGAGTATCATCAATTTAGACACTACAAACAGATTTAAAACTAGTCAAGAGGTAACAAATCAATTCGTATATTTGTTTTACATTACATTAATCATTTTATTTAATCATTTTACAGTTAGATCCTAGTGCTATATGGGAAGATGAGGACACACGAAGCTTTTATGAGGATATTCCTGACCTCAAATCGTTGGTTCCGTCAATTTTATACAAAGATAGTGCAAAGGACGGGATAAAGGACAGGAAAGATGCTCCTGTTCAGGATAAAGTCGCCAAAGATGATGAAGGGAGAGTTGAAGATTCATCAAATCCTGTTGTTGGTCTAATGGAAACTGTTCTAGAAGAAAATGAAGAAGAAAATTTAATTATGGATTCGGAAGATGAAACTGTATCTAATTTCAACGAAGAGGAAGTAAACGGAGGCTTAACCGATGAAGATTCCAGTAAAGATACTGGTCAAAGTGAGAAAGATGAGAAGCAAAGTGAAGAGATAAAATTAACCCAACCAACTCCAGCCAATAAAGTTGTTCTAGAGGCTTTTCTCACATCCCTTCTCAGCTGTGTAAATCGAGACATGATTGACAAAGCAGCTCTTAATTTCTGCACAAACCTGAATACTAAATATACTAGAAAAAAGTTGATCCGAGCTCTTTTCACTGTTCCTAGAACTCGTCTCGATCTATTACCGTTCTATTCTCGTCTTATCGCTACTTTATCTCCTGTAATGCCTCATGTAGCGACTGATTTAGTTCAACTTCTCAAGCAAGATTTCAAATTCCATGTAGGTCATTTCCATATTGAACATTGATTTAGATGTTGATTGTTAATCTATTTTCTTTTCTAGATACGGAAAAAGGATCAAATTAACATCGAGAGTAAAGTAAAAATGTCCGATTCATTGGAGAATTGGTTAAGTTTAAAATGTTTCCAAAATCAGAAGCTCTAATCTGCTTGAGAGTAAGATTAATTTATCAATTCGTTTCAAGAATTATAATCTGTCTTATTTTTTTATATTCACTAATCAACTTGTTTTGATTTTCAGCTTCTTTTGAATGATTTTGTTCACCATCATATCGAAATGGCTTGTAACCTGTTGGAAACCTGTGGTCGATATTTATTCCGATCTCTTGACTCTCATCACCGATGTAAATTACTCTTGGAGCAAATGATGAGGAAGAAAAGTTTACTACCATATGATTCTCGTTACATAACAACGATAGAGAATGCATATTACTTTGCCAATCCTCCTGAAACCCAAACGATTTCTCGTTACGAAAGGCCCCCGATGCATGAATATATTCGTAAATTGTTATATAAGGATCTGTGTCGAACAAGTATGGACAAAGTATTGATTTTAATTCGTAAATTAGATTGGGATAACCCCGAGGTTGCCAGTTATGTGATCAAATGTTTCATCTCCGTTTGGAATGTCCGGTTCTATAATATCCGGTGTGTTGCTAATCTTCTCGCTGCTCTCGTACCTTATCAAGATTGGGTGATACCTCAAGTGATTGATGGAGTGTTGGAAGACATTCGTCTTATGATGGAAATTAACCACCCAAAGTATAACCAAAGAAGAATCTCCATAATGAGATTTGTTGGTGAAATGTACAATTACCGATTGATCGAGTCTGCTGTTGTCTTCAAAATTCTTTATACTTTGGTCACTTATGGTGTTTACTACAATACTCCTGAAGTTTTCTCCGATATTGATCCACCAGACAATTTATCTCGAATCAGATTAATCTGTCAAGTATTGGAAACTTGCGGACAATATTTCAACTCTGGCAGCTCGAAGAAGAAACTTGATTGTTTCATAATTGTTTTCCAAAAATACTATTGGCTTAAAAAATCTCAAGAATTTTACAGTGATGAGTATCCTTTTCCAGTTAATGTCGAAATACTTTTCAAAGATACTATTCATGCTCTTCGTCCTAAGTTCAAGTGCGCCGAAACCTTGGAAGATGCAAACAATGAAGTGGAGAAAATCTTCAACGAACTGAGACCCAAACTATGTGAACTGTTTCCCTCATTGGAAGCTGATTCAAAACCGACTGAATACTTGAGTGGAGAAGAGGATGATAAAAGATTGAATTCAATAGTGGAAGTTGATGAAGATCTAGATTCAGAATGTAATCTCCCTGATATGGATGAAAGTGATGACGATAACAATTCTGATAATGAGCCTGATCGAGGCTCCGGTGATCAAGGAATTAAAAATCGAAGCAGCAATTTAACTGGTACAGATGAAGGTAGTGATACGGAAGGAGAAAGAGAAAGGTCAGTGATGGATGAACGATCAATGCCACCAAAACTTGTTGAATGTGAAGAAGACGATTTGTTCCGAAAGGAGTTTGATCGAATAATGTCTGAATCATTAATTTCGCGAGGACAAGAAGCAGTCAGAGGAACATTAAACGACATTGTAATCCCGATGAATAAACTTGTCGCTGCCAAGAAATCCGTTGCCTTTTCAGGTCTTGGAACAATCGTTTCATCAAAGATGGACGACGAGGGAACATCTGATAAATTTGGAAATCCTGAAACAGGAACATTAAATCTAATGGTTATGACTCGAGCCAAAGGAAACAAACCACTTTTAAAACCAGTTCAAGTTCCTATTGACTCTGATTTAGCTTTGAGCTTGAAACAAAAAGAGGAAGCGGAAAGAGCAGAGAAACAACAAGTGAAAAAGTTGACACTTCATATTACCGAGAGACGAGAAATGGAGGAGACAATGACAGACAAAAGTAACCCCATGCTCGTAATCAATTTCAATCGGGACTCTAGAAGGAAATATCAACACCCCAAAGGTGCACCCGATATCGATCTCATTTTTGGTAACAAATGAGTCGACGGAAAACTGAAAGAATTAGTTGATTCTGATAAATTTCCTTAAGAAAATGAAGCAACAAAATTTATCGGCGATCACTAATTCATTGGTAATTTTACTCGATAAACTGATAATGATCCTGGTGAATAAGTTAATTCATTATCAACTAAACGCTGAATCTGGATGGAAAAATGAAACAACCAAATTTAATAAACTCAATTATCAGCCAAACTCTCGGGCCATCAATCAACTTGGTTGTAATCACCGTCGGTGTAATTGCAAACAATTAGAATGGATAATTTTTCTTAGCAAATCTTGGCTTCGTAAATCATAACCAATTTAACAAACAATTGGTCAAATGGTTAACAATTTGCGGAAGCAAAAAATTAACAGCAAAAGAATCATTGAAACAAAAATTCATTTATTTGTTCAATAATGATAACAGACCTAAATAAATTATCTCTTTTAGATTTAATTTAAAACCAATAATAAACATAACAATTAACGCTATCATGTGGTGACAGTTTCGTCCACGTTGTATACGAATGATGGATAAATTTTAATTCTGATTTAATTAAGTCTACGAGGCTATGATAACTCAAGATACTCTCCCAAAAGCCGAAGGTCACTTTTGATCACAATTAACTTTAATCATAATTATCACGATATTGTGTTTATCTTTGGATTTTAATTATATTACCATCTTAAAGTAACAATTTAACTTGATTGATAAAACTAACTGTAACCTTACATGCAAGTGTCGGCATGTGACTGCATTATTTTTATAATTAAATTAATTGCTGATGGTTTATTGTAAGTGTTGTTAATTAATAGTATCTTAATTATATTAATCATATTTGGATGTCACAAGAACGAGGTGAATGGATATGATCACGTTTCTCACAACAAATTGATTACTCGTAGCAACTTTAAATGTCGATATCGTACTAATAATTAATTGCTAATCAGTGATTAAAAAATAAACAAAAATTAAACTAATTAATCAATTTACTGGTTCGGAATACTTGTTTTGTAGGAGGATAGAGTTACTCTTCAATTGAATTTAATTAACGAAAAGGAAGTCAAAGTAATTAATATTTTTGACAATTCACCTCAAGGTGATCTCACAATTAAGTTGATTCAGTTATTCAAGGAGCCCTTTTCTTTAATTGGATTAGTTTGTTAATTACAATTTGGTAATCAATTTGTATACAAATCACAAACCAATCTCAACTAACCTTGTGAGGTTAAGCTTGATCAATTTAATTAATCAACCATAATCCTTAATTTTCAACAATGAAGTTTAATTGATTAACACTTGAAAGTTATGACAAGTTGATTGTCACAATTTAATACTAATTAATCAATGAATCCTTGTTATTCAAGGGAGGAATCTACAGTTATAAGTCTAGATTAAATTTTAAATTGATGCTATTTTTGATTCTACTCGTTAATTGTAACGAATGGTAATTAACAATTTCCATCACCTGATGTTGCGTTAATTTTTTACAATCAACACTTTGGTTATTTTTCAAGTTAATTGTTGATTAATTAACAAGCAATAATCTCACATGGTTGAAGGAGAAAAACATAAAAATGTAAATAAATTCAATCCAATCAAGGTTGATTAAATCACTAAGGTAAACCTAACAGTCCTAATTGTAACAATTAACCACAAGATCAGACCATGTTGAACAAAATAAGCCATAAAACAATAACAAAAACAAGTTAATAGTTTAATCATCACCCTAATCAACATGAAAACAAGTTGATTGTTACTAATTGTAAATATTTTTCTGTTCTAGAGAATCTGAAATGACCATGAAATAATTATGACCTAAGAAAACACTTTGGACAATTAACTAAACAACGATAATTCATTATGATCAGTATACATTTGATGACGATTATTACGTGAGAATGCCCTTGATTATTTACTAATAATCGTTTAATTATGATAATTACAATTTGATAATAGTGATAATTAGCAAAAAATAATCAATAGAAATAGTTACAGGGAATCAAAATGATAATGATAATATTATCGAGAAGTTGATTATAGTTATTATCAATCATTACCATCAATCTAATTGTTAATATTCCGATCTGTTGGTGATAACAATTATTTATTAACAATTAGCAATTATTAATATAATCAATCATCAAAAACACTGATCATACGAGTTGTTTGTTTATTAGTTGATTAAAATTGTTTTTGATCAACACACCAACTCATGATTATCGTACGATTAACTTGTCGCAATTAGATTGAGAGTCTATTGATTTGGTATCAATAAAAACAAAAGCTCACAATCAAATCTTTATTTACAATCAATCATTATTATTATCAAATAACATTAATATATTAATCATGATTCCGGAATTAGATTAACTCTCTACTCGTTTAAATGAAGATTGGTAACTTATCATCATCATCATCATCATCATCATTATCGTATTAATTATCAATCAATACAATTATTGAAAAAGTTTTGAATTTTCCGATAACCGTCTCAAGGTTTATCATCATTTTGGAATCAGTAGCAATTAAAAAAAATCTCTCAATCAAATCAAATCAAAGTACATATAAATCTATAAGAAAATCAAGTTTCGAATCAAACATTTACTATCGAAAAAAGTTCTGAAAAGTTTTTCTCCTCTTTTTTTTATATTCGAGAGAAAGTGGATTTGTATAAGTTAACGATTTCGTCTCTGGATTTTATTACCATTCTGATGAAAAGGGTTTGCTCTGAATTTGAAATATCCTGAAGGGAGAGAAAAAGAAAGTCTGATATTTTGCCGATCATCATCATCATCATCTTAATTCTAAATGATAGTTACATGTATTAGGGAAAAGTTTTTAAAGAAAAATATTTTTCTTCTTCTTGATTTCAGGTTTTAAAAGGTAATTTGGCATCTTGACCATCGATTACCGCCTTCAAATGAGGTGTGTCCAGGTGGAGTGTCTAAGGTATCAATCAGGTACAACTGCAATTTCTTGAAGCATTTCATCATCTCCATTTGCATAGTAACATTAAGGTAACAAATTCAATGTTACCTGCGAGTAAGTCAAGTCCAGTCATGTCTTAAGTTGCAAACTGATTGCAATTATTAATAATATTGCATCGGCGGGAAAAGGATTCAACAAACTTGAGCTGTTAATCTTAACAAATTAATCTGCTTTCATGTTGATGTTTATTAATCCTGATCAGTATTTCAATTCACCGTAAATTAAATGAACCATTAACTGGATGTTATTGATTTAAGTTGAAATTTAATTAAAAACAAGATAATAATAATAAATGATAAAAGTTTGATAATAAATTGGTTTCATATTTTCTTATGGTTCATGAAAATTCAGAGAATCAGTTATGGAATCAACAATTTATTCATAATAATTGGCACCTCTCATTGTTTTAGATTATCAATTAACAATGTTATCTAATTAGTTGATTGTGGATATTAATCGTTTCCCCTTGATCAGTTTTTCTTGATAAATTGTCGATAACATTACTCTCAAGGTTATGTATTCATTACAGAGCCTCAACCTCTTAGGTTTTAATTTTTTGTCACAATCAACTGATAATCAATTGATTGTCGTTATTAATAATACTGATGTCATGGTAATTCCCGAAGATATTAGTAAATATTAATTTTATCTGAAAGGAAAAAGTTTTCAATTTTTTTCCATTTTTCTATCACCTTTTATTTTAGAACCAATTTCAATGACATTTCCTTTTTTCTCATTAAATTGTTGATTTAATTTAGTTTCACAATCAACAATTAGCTGATTATCTGAATGATTAATATCTTAATTTTATTGCTTTTTTTCTCGTATCATCTTATGCTAATTGTAACATTAATTGTAAATATCTTGATCAGATTGTTTGATTTAAAACTTTAAAATATTTATCGTTTTACAATTTAAATTTGTTTGCACTCTACTTTACAATTAAGTTGATTAATGATGATTTACTGATAATCTAATGTCAAGTATTAGTTACAAATGAATCAAACAATTTTTTCATTGAGATAATTGATTATTAATCAATCCTGATTTACCATCGGATCAGACAATCAATAGTAAAATAAATTGTGTAAAAAATTGAATGAATTTAAAAACGAATCAATTTTAATTATGATATTTGGTTCACAGTTTAATTTTGATTAACAAAGATCATCGCTCTGATCAATTAAATCAAAATCGGTATCGACAATTTGTTTTTTATTTTGATTAGCTGTTAATGGTAAATTATAATGAGTTCAGTTACAGTTAAGTCGTTAATTAAAAGTAATTAATTGTGATTAACTTTGATCAAGGCAGGAGAAATGACAAAATCTTAAATAAGCTGAAGATGAATCAAGTAAAAAAAAAATCAAAAGATAACCTTGATTGTAATCAAGATTGTTGCTTAATCAGGTAGCCTTCTCGATTAATACTCAGAGATATTGATTGATTGGTGTAATCATTAAATAATAAACTTTGGGTTAATAATGTTGTTGTTGTTGATGATAATAATAATAGATAGTTCAACAAACTTTCACTTAATTGTGATAAGTTGAAAACTATTGACGATGAGAAATGAAACTCTGAAATTATTGATCCAAAGTGTTTCCGGTTGAATATTTTATTACAATCAATCAATTTAATTGATTGCTATAATGGCGGACAGTAATCAAGACCGTAAATACAATCAGATTCAACAAGATTTCCGATGAAATATTTTTCCATGAGATCGAAAGCATCTTTACCATGTCGAGAACTGAGAAAGGCGATCGTAGCGTCACGTCCAGCATTCTCAGCGATAATATAATCGCCTCCAGGATGCTAAATAAGAAACGATGGAAAAAAAGTTAAGAATAACAATTAGTTTAATTATTAATAGATTATTAACTTTTCTGTTTATTGGAAAAACATGAAATTTCAAGAGTAATCAATTTAGCTCTTTATACAATTAACGTTTATGCGATTATTGTTTCGCTTTGACCTACTAAGATGATTGTTAATTGTGATCATCATGTTAATCAGGTTGATTAATTTCTTTCCACTGATTGTTAGGGTTTAATAGATTTCTCTCTATTTCTGAATTGCATCTATTATAAGAATCTCTTGAATGACAATGATAACTCATTAGAAATACCTGAGAGTTAAGGTTAATTGTGATAAGAAAGTCTTATGACTAAAAGAAAGATTAAGTCTAAGAGTTGATTCCGTTTTCTTTATGGAATTAAAAAAAGATAGTTAATCAGCAGGAATCTACTTGAACACAATCAACCCAATGGATCGAGTTGATTGTTACTATTGCAAAAAGTTGATACATTTTTGTTTTGCTTCTTTACTTTCGGTGGGTAACTTTTTCACTCCACAGGTAAATGAGTCTGCAAGCGATTTGTTAATCTCAAGAGAGTAGGAAAGGGAAAATGATTGGTTTTATCTCATTCTAATTGTTATTGTAATTGGTAGATTGTTATCAGTTTGAGTTGAATGGAAATTACTAACCTCATACATGAAGTCGGTGACATCGTAAACTTTGTCAAATAATATGATCCAACAATCGTGGTGGGTACAATGTTCAGATACTTCGGCCAAGGTGAATTTCGGTGGATGAGATTTGGTTTCGATTTCAGTCCAGGGGACGATACTTGTGATTTCTTGGAAAAACGTTGGAGAGAATATTTTTTTTACAGATCTTGTGAAAATAGAATCAACTTTACTCCATAGAGAGTCACAGTTCTCGTAATCAGATGAGATCTCACAATCAACTATTGATTCAGTTTCTTCAATCTCTTCATCAATCGTTGATCTTTCATATTGAGCATCCTCATCATTATCCAATTCCTCATCACTGTATTGAGGTAATTCGGGTAAATCTTCATCCAAAATATCAGCTAATTGTTGACTGGCTGATAATAGTTTTTGAAAAGCAATTTGAGCTTGTTCAAATTTCTCTTTACGTTTATCACTTAATTCACCTTTAGATATCAAGGTCCGTCGATTTTGTCTCTCCAGCGATTGAAGCGATTTATGATCACGAACAATGTGAACAGCCAAAGTTTTGTAATAATCTTTAAGAAGATTCCTCAGTCCCCTTTGACGGTCACACGGTAAAAAGTCACTTTTGATCAAAGGTAAATCATATTTATCGGACAATAGCCTCATCTTTCTGGGTGTTAGTCCAGCATAATCATCACCGCAGTGACGGCAAAATGTTAATATGATGTTGATATTGTTGTGATTGTCTTTGTCACTAGTGACCAAAAGGGTCAATAGATTACCAAGGATGGGAAGACCTTCTTTAAGGGTGAATATACCCGAAGTGATTAGTTCGGCAAAGAAGCGAATGTCGATTCTCATCTTGGAGAGATTTAGATTGGCCAAGTCACTTGGTTTCTTGGGTAAACTTTTGTTCCAAGAGTCGAGAAGTTGAGAGGAGAAATCGGGATATCGTTGGTGGAGAAGTGAACATATTTTAATGGCCATCGGGATGTCGGACATTTTCAATTTGGCTTCAACCAGAGCTCCAGCAACTTCAGAAATGTATTTGGATAAGTTTAATGATAACATGTCCTTAATTAGACTTTCCTTTTGACCTTCGGTCATATTTCGTAGCTTTTTAACAAATGAACAGTTTTTCTTTACACCACAATCTAATCCTTGAAGTAACAACAGTGATCCCTCGTAATCTGGATTAGCATTTGCTGCTCGAAGATCAGATTTAATTTGAAGTAATTCTTCACACTCGCTGATATATTCACCAACCAACTCTCTTTCCGATAAAGTATCAAGTTTACCACCCGATTGACCAGAATCCTCAAGGTAAGTGACCATCATTCTCGTGTTGATTCAAATAAAAACAGACAAATTTAATCAGTTAAATTGGTTAACTTTCACTTTGTGTTGTTAAAAGATTAAAGGTAACAATTTGTAACAATTTAACAATCAACAAGAAAAACAAATTTTAAAATTAGTTGCGACAAAAAATGAAATCAATTGAATGTTTATCAGGTAAACAAAATCAAACAAAAGTATGTTAGTTAAAGGCTTAATGGTTAACAGTTTGAAAAGATTTTTAAATGTTAGCGAAAATTAAATTCAAGTAGTTTGACAATTTGGAGCAATTAAACTAACAAGTATTTTGACAATTCCGCCAATATAAAGCCTTTAGCGGCTTATCAGCGCCATCTCTTGGTCTTTCAATGGAAACTTTCAGTGAGGAAGAGAAAAGAAAACTCGACAGGTGGAGCCACTTTGCATTCGTTAATTGATTAAATCAATTGTTGAACTTGTTGAGATACTTTTGGCTTGATTGTGAGTTTTAATCATCAAAGTTTTGCTTTAATATAATCTCTCATTGTCACCTTTGTTAATTAAGATGATTATCATCGAGTTGATTGGTATGTCTTTTAAATGTTATCTTGATTCTGATTTTGATGAATATCGTTGATTGTGCTACTTAATTGCTTTTCATTTTGTCTTGATTATTTTTACAATTCTAATTGTAATTATATTAATATAATATTACTAAATTATTTATCAAGTTGAAATGGTGAATGATATGTTACGAAAGGATTAATTGTTAATTCTGTTACTGTTTTCAGTTGAATTAATCTTATCGTTTGATCAATTAATGTTGATTGTGGTTAAATAATTGGAATCTAATTTGAGAATTATTATCATGATTGTAATAATTGATTACATTTCAAGTGGCAGAGACGGATAATGATAAGGGAAGAACAATCAAAAAAAAAACTTGATGATTTTTAAATTGTTTGATTGTTTACGTTTAATGTTACAAAGTCAAATGTTTGACAATTAGCAAATGGATTGTGGATGGAGTTTATTGTTAATTAAATAAATTTACTTGGTTCTCAAATCCTTGGTGTGTGTGTTTGAAGAATTAAGAATTTCAATTGATAAAAATACACGTTAAATTGTCTCTCTTTTGTAAATTGTTGGATGAGATTGTGATGATTGATGCATAACTTGATTGGATGCTGAATGTTGGGCAGGTTGATGAGAAAGGTGTGGATGAGGGTGGGGATTGTGTGAATGCTGATGAGAATGTGAATGAGGAAGTATATGTGATGCAGAATTGGATATTGGTGCTGAGGAGGGTTGAGGTGGAGGTGGTGGAGGAAGAGGAGGAGGTGGTTGGTGGGAGTAAATATCTTCCCCTGGTGAAGACAATGAATCATCTGAATGTCCATTTGAAATTTGGTGACGGTCATTTCTTAAATTATGGTCAAGGTCTATAAGTTGAGGTGGATGTTGAGGTGTCGGCTCATAATGAGAAGGTCCTTCATCGATAATCATTCCACTGGCTCCATTAGCCGATGTACTTGGATAGCTTGTCATCATTGGCGGCATTGTCCCTAAATCAAAATAAGAGCAATTGTGTCAATTGAATTGATTCACGATTAGTTGGTTAATGATAATATTATTACTTGGGTATGTTGGCTGCCATGTTGTATGTGTCGGTTTACTGATCGGTGGTGCGACCTGGCTCATGATCGTCCTATTACCAAGAAGCATCTCTTGTAAAAGGCCATCAAATTTGGTTGCACCAACGCACTTTGTGAATTCGTCAATTTGTTCAATCATTTGATTGCTGATACTTTGTAATGGCGATAATAATAAAAGGATTTCACCAAATCGTCCTCGAGAATTGTATTGATGGTCCATAATATAATCTTGTAAGTTTATGTGAACCTGAGTTCGTAAGTTCTTAATCTTTGATGGTTGAGTCAATCCCTTGGCACCTAAAAGACGAAGAAAACAATCATGATATTTTTCATTCTAAATTAATTGGTTGAACAACATCAGAACTGCGATGATTGTTATAATACAATTAATACAATATAAACGAGATTAAAATGATCACAATCATATTTATAGTTTCTCTCTCTAATTGCTCATACGAGAGTTTGATTGTAGACGAGATTTGATTAAATAAATTGTTTACTTGGGTCGAAAAAAACAATCGCTTTGAGACACGCGAATTCAGTGTCATCGATATGAACATCATGTAGAACGGTAACTAATTCATCCATCACCCGATTTCCAATTAATGTTATCTCTTTTTCTGGTGAATTTCTCGGTATAATATAGTCATTTCCAAGGAGAAGACAATCTTTCAAGTGCATCGATCGATGGGCAAGTCCAAGGAGTAAATTTTCACCGGCATGAGCTTTTAATAAGGCAACTTGATCATCGACAATTAATTCTAGAAAAGCAGGAATTCCTTTGGCCCAGGTAACTAAATTTAACAATTGATTTCTCATCGATTCGCAAACATCCGAAATACTTGCAATCTTTTTCTCTTCAATCGATGTCTCCTGAATATATGGTCGAGCCTAAAAGAGAAAACCAAGAAAACAATCAGTAGAAGGTCAATCTAAATGTAATGGTCAGTCAGGGGACGAAGCGGAAAAGGAAAAGGTAATCACAAGTAGGATAACTTTCATTAACCCTTTACAATTTGGTCCAGGGTTTGTTAAGCTCCCACTCCAATATAACCCACCCTTAGATGTAATTAAGCTTAAGTAACATTTTGGTGGTTGCAAGGAGTTGATTGCATTTGCAAGGAAGCGAAACCTTTTCAAATTGTATTCTTATGGATGATATAACTTTTCCAAATACCTGATGGATTATTATTATTATTAATATTTAGCTTTTAATTGTAATCATTTTTAATCACCAACGTAAAGCTAAAGAATCAAACCTCATTAATTAACATTAATTGGCAACACGAGGATGATAATGTTTTTTTTAGGTTTGTTTAAAGATGCAGGAAAGAATCAGTTAATCGTTATGAACACGAGTGAAAGTTAATAAAATTAGCGATTCAATTAATAGTAACAATTAACTCATTTCTTTCATTTCAATGAGAAAATGTTATATAAACCTAATGATAAAAACCTCGTGTAGTTTTTTCCCACCATGTATATCAATTTATGAACAACAACAATTAGATAGCAATTTAACTGATGATTAACTTACCTGTCGAGAAGTCATCTCAGCTTTGTAAAGTGTTTGAATTGAAGCTCCGCCATTATTAAGTGCGTCGTCGATACTTGATCTTCTTAAACTGATTCGATCTCGTTCATTTTGTACCGCTAAGAAGAGTTAGAAAGCGATTTCGACAATTAGATTGATAATCAATCGATTGGTGACTAATTCAAATACCTCGATGATTCAATCATCTAGTAGATTAACTCACCATCTTTTTTCATTCCAGCGCGAAAGCATTTTCGCAATCGACAAAATCGACACTGATTACGTTTGTCCTTGTCGATTGTACAGTTACGTTCAAATCGACAAGCATATTGATTACTTTTCCTTACACTTCGTCTGAAAAAACCCTGAAAACAATTAAGAATTAATGAAAAAAAATCATCAGATGATTGTTGTTTCATTGATAAGATTCAGATTAAATCTCACAATTTGTGTGAAATCAATCAATTGTAATCGTAATCAAAATAATTTCGGTTGATTAAAACTTATCAATGAGATGATTGAAACGTGTTTATCTACTTATAATTAGTAAATTGTTGGTACAAGATAAAATAGAAATCAATTCTATTGACAATTAACAATAGTAATCATTTTCCAATGAGTGTAACATAAAAAATAAATTGTACTCAAATACTGGAGCTGATTTAGTTGATTGTTTAGATTGTCCCTTCAAATTTTATCAATATTTAAGTTAAACAAAGTAAATATCGGACAATCGAACATCAATCAACTAATTAACTCTATTGTCAATAATGAGCATCGAAAGTTGTAATTCGAGTCACATAATAAAATAGTAACAGTGTTTTCTAAGTACATTAGACCTCAATTTAAATCTTAAACTGATACATATATACAGAGTGTCTCAGGGAGGGTGGAAGAAGAAAAAGTTTCCAAACTATCGAAAACTCGATAAATTTAAATGGACTGGTCAAAATGGTACAAAATCGATCAGTTGCCTCAAAAGTAAACGGGAAAACTTTTCCAGAAACAAATTGAGAGAAAAAAAGTTTACAGATAAATAAAGTAAACCAAGTGATTATTATCACGATACTTTGACGGTAATTTAGTTGTGAACAAATTTTCAACTCGAAAACAAGTCCAATCTATTATAAAACACTCTGTATTCATCATGATAATTATTATTATTACAAAAAGTAATCTCTTGAAACCATGGTGAGATTATTAGATTGGTAAATAATAATAATAATCAAATGATAACAACACATACGTGTTATCAATTCTGGTTAAACACAAGAGATAGAGAAGGAAAAAAATTGATTAACAGTTAGTTAATTGTGCATGTTACCTGATCCTAGAAAACACTGTTGTTTATTTACTTTAGAAAAAGCAAATTGTGATTAAGTTTTGTTAAATTATCTAAAGGTAATAAAACAAATTGACCAACAACAATTCACTAAAACAAGTGAGGGTGAAATTGGTTAACCTCTGACCCCAATAAACTGAAAACTCTCTCTGGAATTTCACAGTTTTGGCGATTAACTGTTGATCATTTTCTAATTAACAATTTGTTAACAATATATTTGCGAAACAACAACAAATTGATCAGATCAAAATGATCAATTTGGTGAGAGAGAGAGAAAGAGAGAGAGAGAGAGGAGAAAGTTATAGTTTCACAATGGATGTTGGAAAAAGAGAATAGAAAAGAAGAAATTTTTTTCTCTTTTTTTTTCTTCTTTTTTCTTTTGGTACACTTACTTTACATCCGTCACAACTGTGGGCACCATAGTGTTTACCTGTTGCTCTATCACCGCAAATTGCACATGATTGGGGATTCGAGTTGTTTGTTGAGGTCGAAGTTGATGAACTGTTGTTATCATTAACGTTACTATTAACACCACTGGCACCATTGTTATCAACAACATTTACGTTGTCAAATCCATTCATGGTAAATGTGGTAAATCTTTAACACAGTTTATTTGGAGAAAGAGAAAACAATTATTATTAAAAAAAAAAAGAAAAATTGATTCTTCAATTAACTTGTTAGTTGAAAAAACGAAGAGTACAAAGTCAATTCGGCTTATCGTTCCTCCGATTATCGCACTGCGATAACGTTTACTCTTATTCTCCACCAGATGGAGACAAGTTCGAAAAGTGGCGACATCTGTCGGTCTTATGGTGAGAATTTGACAGAGCGTCTTTTGTGCGCATGCGCAGAGCGGTGAATCAAATTGTAAATAACAAACGAATTGTTGGTGTTTCTTTTTAGTAATTAACGTTAATTAATTGTGGACAATTTTAATCATGTATTCATGTATCCGATTAAATAGATTGAGAGGAAAAAGTTATTTGAAACCATGGCTCATTATTCAGAATAACTGTTATTCTGACAAAGTCAATTTGAGGAAAGTTTTGGTGGCCAATCGAGGTAAGTCAATATTTTCTTTTCTTTAATTCGTTTTTGTTTGTTTAGTTATTGTTTATCTTTTTTTTTCTCTCTCTCTCTCTCTCTTTTTCTAATCAATTTACGTGATTGATCTTATTATTTTCTTCAATCTGAAGGTCAATCATTTCAATTGCTTTTCAATTAACTTGTGATTCGATCATCTTTTGTTTTTGTCTTTTATTCTCATTTATTCTTGGTTATCCTTTTCTTTTGTTCGACAATTTAATTATTCTAAGGTGAGATCGCTATACGAGTTTTCAGAGCTCTCAATGAATTGGGAATTCGTTCAGTTGCCGTTTATTCGGAACAAGATAAGATGCACATGCATCGACAAAAGGCCGATGAAGCTTATCTGATTGGTCATAACCTTCCTCCTGTTCAAGCTTATCTTAATATCCCAGAGATAATTAAAGTCTGTAAGGATAATCATGTCGATGCAATTCATCCTGGTTACGGGTTTCTCTCTGAGAGATCTGATTTTGCTCAAGCCTGTCAGGATGCTGGAATTAAATTTATCGGGCCCTCTCCTACTGTGATGGCCAGAATGGGCGATAAAGTGGAAGCACGAAAAGCCGCAATAGCTGCCGGTGTTACAGTTGTTCCAGGTTCTGATAATCCGGTGACTCAAGTCGATGAAGTGATTAAGTTTGTCAAAGATCATGGGCTACCTGTTATTTTCAAAGCAGCTTATGGCGGTGGTGGACGGGGTATGAGGGTGGTAAAGTCTATGGATGAGGTGGAAGAAAATTTCCTCAGAGCAAGTTCAGAAGCATTGGCTGCTTTTGGTAATGGAGCCATGTTCATTGAGAGATTCATTGAGAAACCTCGTCACATTGAAGTCCAAATTTTAGGTGATAATTATGGTAATATTGTCCATCTCTACGAAAGAGACTGTTCCGTCCAAAGAAGACACCAAAAAATTGTAGAAATCGCCCCATCACCAAATCTTGATCCAATAATAAGACAGTCAATGTTATCTGATGCTCTTAAGATTGCAAGACATGTCGGTTATCAAAATGCTGGTACAGTCGAGTTCCTATTAGACCAACAAGGAAATTATTACTTTATTGAAGTTAATGCTCGTCTTCAAGTTGAGCATACTGTTACTGAGGAAATCACTGGAGTTGATTTAGTGCAATCACAGATCCGTGTCACGGAAGGATATGCTCTCGATGAACTTAATCTGCGACAAGATGAGATCAAAGTCAATGGATGTGCCATTCAGTGCCGAATAACAACCGAAGATCCTGCCAAAAGTTTCCAACCAGATTCAGGTCGACTTGAAGTATTTAGATCTGGTGAAGGTTTTGGAATACGTTTGGACAGTGCTTCAGCCTACGCTGGTGCCATTATCTCACCTTATTATGATTCACTTTTAGTAAAAGTTATCGCTCATGCCAATAATCTAAAAGCGTCTTCCAAGAAAATGCTTCGAGCTTTACGAGAATTTCGAGTTAGAGGAGTAAAAACCAACATACCTTTTCTTATCAACCTTTGGGTCATCCAAAATTTGCCGCTGGAACGTGTGACACCTACTTTATTGATGACAATCCACAATTATTTGACTTCAGACAAAGTCAAAATCGAGCTCAAAAATTGTTATACTATTTGTCCAATGTCATGGTCAATGGGCCAATGACTGCGGTCTCAACCAAACTAAAACCTGCCAATATCATTCCTCAAGTTCCTGAGACCGAAGTTGATTATGAACACGTTAAGGGTTGGAAAACTATTCTCAAAGAAAAAGGCCCTGAGGGCTATGCCAAAGCTCTGAGAGAGCATAAAGGTTTACTGCTGATGGACACCACTTTTAGAGATGCTCATCAATCCCTGTTAGCAACTAGAGTTCGAACCCATGACTTACTACGAATTTCACCTTACGTTTCTCAAAATTTGAATACTTTGGCCATCCTGGAGAACTGGGGTGGTGCAACTTTCGATGTTGGAATGAGATTCCTTCATGAAGATCCATGGGAAAGATTAGTTAAAATGCGACAACTTATTCCTAACATTCCTTTTCAAATGTTACTTCGAGGTGCCAATGCGGTTGGGTACACATCTTATCCAGATAATTTGGTCTACAGATTTTGTGAGGCAGCTAAACAAAGTGGAATGGACATTTTCCGTGTTTTCGATTCATTAAATTACTTGCCCAATATTTTCATTGGTATGGAAGCGGCGGGTTCGGCTGGTGGAGTAGTTGAAGGTGCAATATCTTATACTGGTGACGTTTCTAATCCTGCAAAGAAAAAGTATAATCTCGATTACTACTTGAAACTATCAGACGAAATTGTTAAGGCTGGAACACACATTTTGTGTATTAAAGACATGGCCGGTCTTTTGAAACCTCAAGCCGCTAAAATGTTGGTCACCGCTCTTCGTGATCGCCATCCTGATGTTCCCCTTCATATTCACACCCATGATACTGCTGGTGCAGGAATTGCCTCTTTATTGGCTTGTGCGGAAGCAGGGGCTGATATCGTCGATGTTGCCGTTGATTCCATGTCAGGAATGACCTCACAACCAAGTATGGGAGCTCTCGTGGCCTCGCTCCAAGGAACACCTTTGGACACTGGGATCACTTTGAATAATGTTAGTCAATATTCAGCTTATTGGGAACAAACGAGAACACTTTATGCTCCGTTCGAATGTGCTGTCACCATGAAAAGTGGTAATGCCGACGTTTACGAAAATGAAATACCTGGTGGTCAATATACTAATTTACAATTCCAAGCTTATTCACTTGGTTTAGAAGATCAATTTGAGAAGATTAAAAAAGCCTACAAAGAAGCTAATTTACTTCTCGGCGATATCATCAAAGTTACTCCTTCATCAAAAGTTGTCGGTGATTTAGCACAGTTCATGGTCCAGAATAAACTGAATGCTAAGGAAGTTGAAGAGAAAGCAGGTGAATTGAGTTTCCCAAGTTCAGTTGTTGAATTTATGCAAGGATTTATTGGTGAACCTTATGGCGGTTTCCCTGAACCTCTTCGTTCAAAAGTAAGTCTTAATTTTTATTGATAAATTTTAAAAAAATGACAAATTTTACATGAAATTTCCTATGACAGATTCTTAAAGGACTGAACCCGATTACTGGTCGACCTGGTGAGCATTTAACTCCATTGAACTTTGTTCAACTCAAGGATCAATTATCAGAGAAACATGGAACTCCAATTAGTGATACTGACGTAATTAGTTCAGCTTTGTATCCCAAAGTTACCGATGATTTTATCTCATTCAGAAATGAATTTGGTCCTGTTAGTCTTTTAGACACTAGAATCTTTCTTGAAGGTCCTCGTGTCGGAGAAGAGTTCGAGGTAAGTTCGCTATACTTCATAATAACAATATTTTCTTCGTTACTTTATTCAATCTAACCAAATTTCTTCATTTTGTTCTATGATATTCTCAGGTTATCATAGAAAAAGGTAAAACTCTACATATAAGAACTCTGGCTGTTTCCGAGACTCTCAATAAACAGGGAATGCGTGAAGTGTTTTTCGAGCTCAACGGTCAATTACGAACAGTTTTAGTCAAGGATAAATCTGTTTCTGAGGTAAATAAAGAAATCTGATTTCATAATCAAGTGAAAATCTTGCCAAGATTTTTATCTCAAATCTTTATAATTTATTAATTCATCATTTTGTTTATCCGTCTTACAGGAAATTGTAGCAAATCCAAAAGCTCAGAAAGGAGCAAAGGATCAAATCGGTGCTCCGATGCCTGGAACTGTCATTTCACTTAAAGTATCCGAAGGAGATAAAGTGGGCAAAGGGGAACCTTTACTTGTCCTTAGTGCCATGAAAATGGAGATGGTAGTTCAATCACCGATAGCAGGAAAAGTTCGCAGAATTCTTGCCCAAAAAGACATGAAATTGGAAGCAGGAGACTTACTCATGGAAATTGACCCAATCGATGAGTAGAAGCCAAAGTCATTCATGAGTTTAAATTGTTTTTAGATCCAATGACTCTCGATGTTGACTGAGTTGATCAAAGTAATGCTTAAGTCGAATCGACGATTAGAAATCATTTCATGTGATGAAATTGATTACCAATCAAAGTGATCACATCAATATAATATCTCGTCCAATATCACAGATAGTTGAGTATCGATCAAGGTTAACAATCAGATGCTCATTTTCCGTTTAATTAGTATTTTTATTAGATTTTCAATACAACATTTATAACAAAGTTTTTTAGATGAAAATTTATATGAAATCTAAAAGCTTCCAATTTAATCAACAATCAGCCTCTCTATCATGTTAATCAGTGAGAATAGATTTTACTTATATTAGATAATATCTAATGAAACTAAATTGTTTTTTATAATCTTATCATCACAATCATAATTACCTTCATCTTTGATAAGATTGTTAATTGATTTCTGTTTTCATCTAACTCAAACCAATTCTATTGGTCCTACAATTAACTTTTATGATCTTTTTGTTATGATTTTCATTCAACTAATTTTTTTGTTTCAAATTGTCTTAAATTGCCATAGATTTTATCTAAACAATCAAATCCAAAATTATTTCATTGTTGTTTTTTGATGCAATCTGATTCAGTGAAAAAAGTCAAAAAGTAACTGAATCAACATAATCAACATTGTGATTAAACAAAAGTCTTTCATGTTTTCTTAAATTGTTAAAGAAATGAGCTTTTTTCTACTGAAATTAACCTGGTTAACCTTTATCAAGATTAATAATCAATTTTACAATTAACGTGATTCTATCCCAACAAAAGTAATATGTTGATCAAATTGTTCAAGAAAAAATCAATCTTTTTACATTTTATTAGTTACCAAAGTACAATAAACAGATAATTGCATTTAATCATTTTCTTGTCTTGATTGTAATTCATTTGGTTTAAAATTAAACTGAAAACAAAAGATGATCGAGATGATTAAAGGCAACAATTACCTAATGATTATGTTAAAAGGTGAGAATGATTAAGTTAAAATGTTTAACTCTAACATTAAATACAAACAAATAGAACCCAAATCAGAGAATCAGTTGGAATAAATTCTGATTGAATCATCATGTGGTTGAATCCGAAACTCAGAATAATCTGTTGATTGTGCTCCTTTTTTGCTTTACCTAACATCGATCGATATCAATTCTTGTGATGATGACATGAGGTTCTATTGGAGACTCACTCGAGAAACATGAGGATGAACATGGAATCAAATGGAAATTCAGACTCTCTCTGTTGGTAACAATTCTTTTACTCTCTCTCTCTCTCTCTCTCTCTCTCTGTCTGTCTTTATTTCTTTCTTCTCGTCGTCCTCTTTCTATTCTAAAACATTTCTTTGATTCCTATTGATGATAACCTCATGCCAGGTCTTTCCATCATCATTCAATATCAATCATCAACGTGAATCGACAACTGAATTAAATGAAATCTGAGTTAAATCAACACCAAAATTTTATCGAAAAACAATTTTTTCTTTCACTCGGACGAGATTCAACTAATGGCTTAACTTATACTGGTTCAAATTGATTCAATTCATGTGGGATGAAAACAGCATGATGATAGAATTCCTCCCCTCCCCTCCCTTTCTCTCTCTCTCTCTCTCTCTGGTCTCATTTCTCTTCATGATAAAACATAAGGTGATGTTAACAAGTTACTCTTTTGAGATCCATATGTTTTTCAATTAGATTTGAAAACCAGACTTATTTTCATCACAATTCTTTTATCAGATGGTTGACAGGGTGTTGATGATGCAGGGTAATGATGATTATCATTATAATACGGGATTCAGATGCTGGTTACACCAAGGAACCGGAAACCTGAAAAATAATGAGATGAAACTTGTAGATTAGGTCAACAAATATTAACGACAACAGTTGACCAATTATCTTTTATAATTGAAAATATGTATTCAATATTGTTTCATTTCAAGTTATCGATGATGGAGATGTGTAGGAGAAGAAGAAGATGAGAGAGAGAGAGAGGTTAAAGGAGATGATGAAAGTGATGAGGATGCTGTTGATGATGAGGGTTGATTAAGGTGCATGCGCTTGACAAAAGCCGATATATAATAAAATGATCATTAATGATATTATTTGTATTTAAAAAGGGCAAATAATGTCAAGGCTTCAGTTTGTTTCAGCTTTTTCGCCCCTCTCTGTGCACACAGGGTGGGTTCTGAACATAACATGTTCACCATGTAACTGATGGACTATCATTCAAAGTTATATATGCATTCAATTCAGAAGGTATATTTTATTGACAAGGTGAGATATTCACTCACACGCATGCTGACAATATAACTCACTCTTTTCATCCTTCTCTCTCCCTATCATCATCTTGCAACTATTCTCACTCATTCTCTCTGCCCTTACCTCCCACATCCAATGCACCATGAGATTGATAGGATAGCCCAGATCGAGTCTTTCACTTTATATCCAAACTACAGTTAACTTGATTTTCTTGTTCTAATTTCCTTTCTTCTCCCATGGTTTCAACTTTCTTTCATCTTCTCTAATCTTCATCATCAACTTATCTCCATTTCTTACCTGTTACATATGAACTTCACTTTGAGCATCATTTAAATATTTGTTTTTCTCTTCCGAAGAAAAAACTAATCACAAGTGAGTTGATAACTTTTCGAACCCTCAACTTTACATATTGTTCATATTTTATTGATCGATTGTTTTTGTATTTATGATTGAATTAGTTGTTGGTTGATAATCATCAATATAATTATGGAAACACCGACACGTCGATCATCTCGATGTGGAACTCGAGTCGCCGCTGCTTTGGCCCAACAAGTTATTTGTGATTTAGTTTCGTACGATGAAGTTGCCACAATAGCTGAAGAAGCTGATGATGAGGAAGATGAACGTAATTATCGTTATCATCTTCTTCATCATTCACGTTCAGATAAATCATCATATCCAACTGATTTTACGACAACAATTAAACCTATCAAATCAACTAAACATGTTAATTCATCACCGCCGTCAAATGATTTACAATCAAACCGTAAAGACCATTCAAAAACTGGCCGAACTCCAACATCAACTACAACAATTAAATCAGAATCAAATTCAACAACAATCACCCCAGTGACACTTTCATCAACACCAACTGAAGGCTCTGGACAATCAGAGCCAATGGACATTGATAATAGTAAACTACAACTTTCAACTTCGATTGTAATCGATGAAAATCAATCAACATCAACAACAATCGAATCAAATTTGTATTCGGCTTACCAAACTTGGGCTCTGAAAACTTATGGAGATTCAGCAAAGACGAAAACAGTTACTCGAAAAAAGTACCAAAGGATCGTTCGTATCCTTCGAGGTGAGGAAACAACAAACGTGGAGAATTCAAAGTTTAGATTTTGGGTGAAAGCGAAAGGATTTAAATTACGTGGTAACGTTAATTGTAAACAAGAATCAGCGACAATCAAAATCGAGGATAATCACGAAGACGAAGATGAAAATATCCTTTTGGTTCCTTGTACAAAAACTTCATCGGTAAGTTAATCATGTTAATTTCCTATCAACAATTACATTACCACGATGATTGACTCCAGGTTTAATCACCGTCATTTAAGGTTACGATTATGGTTGACATCTCATTGTATTAATATTTATTGTCATCAACAATTAGTTTCCACAATTAGAGAGATGAACAGAAACTCTGTCTATTTGAGTTTCTTTTCTGTCTTTTTTTCCATTACCTGTTACCAGTATTGTTTACATGGTGTCGTGAGATTATCATCAAACAATTAGAGTTAAAACTCAATCAAAGTTTTTCAAAGTGATCACGATCTGAATCTCATCTAAATTTTTCAACTCAACTAATCAAAAGTATCCCTAATTAGTGTCTAATTAATTGTTCATCATGTATTGGTTTACGATTGAGTAGCAAATAGTTTAGAATCAAGTTTTTTAAACCTTAGTAATTTTGTGAATTGCTGATGAAATTTTGATGAAATTCCAGAGAAACTGTTGAAATTATTTCATCATCTTCTCATCATGAAGATGATGATGAAAATTCTTGAGTAAAATAAGTTGAAATTTCATAAGTTATTTTGCCGAACAAGTTGTCGCGATGTTCACAAAGTTTAACAATTAACTTAGATTATTGTCTGAGAACTGGAAATTGATTGATTAACCTCACAAATGATTAACCAAATAAATGCGATAACCTAATTCAGTTTGATCAATCGGTTTTTGGCTAAATTATTTGATAAAATCAAATTTGATTAACACTACTGTAAATCTAAAATCTGATATAACCATCGGTTTTTGTAAGTTTTTTTCTGCTGTTTCTTTACTTTCATCATAATCATCATCCTTTTCATCCTCATCTTTTTTTTTGTACATCACAATGTGATTGACCTGGGATATGTCATTAAAATACTTTTTTCCTCATCATTTCTCTTCGTAAATTACAATCCGATCAACATCCAGAGTCATGGTGATGCAAGTGATTAGGTCACGTGTTATGGGGTACCTTTGGTAATGAGGAGGAGGAGGAGGAGAGAGAGAGAGAGAGAGAGAGAGAGAGAGATGATGAAGAGAGGATCAGTGAAGATGAGATAATAAAGGAGAGAGGGAGGGAGAAGGAGAGAGCGAAAACTCATTTGGATTTATCTAAGCGAGTAAAATAAAAGTAATAAGTTGGTGAGGATGTTGACGATGGAGATGATGAAGACCATGTTGCATATTCGGGATGAGAAAGATGAAAACAAATAAGTAATTCTGTTTTTACTCTTCCACATTTTCCTCTGTCTCTTGTTTCTGTCATCTAGCATCCTCTTTGATACACATTAAGAATCATCTGATGAGGATAAAAATGAAGATGAAAATGAGAATGAAAATGAGAAAAAGAGACAGAAGATGAAAGCCTTAAGGGAAATAAATTCCGTCATTTTGATGATGATGATGAGGAGTAAAAGTATGAGCCTCCCAAAAATGAGTAACAGCCTCATAGGAAATGGTTGATAGATTGGAAACGAGGAAGAGGAAGAGAGAAGGTGAATCAGATTTAGTAGGAGTTTTATTAACAAAAAGAGGGAGAGTGGGAAGAGATTAAATAGAGAGAGAGAGAGAGAGAGAGAGAGAGAGAGATGATGATGATGCTTGGGAATTATTTGACTGGGATGGGATCTCATGTTATCTGCTTTTAGGGATAAAAGATGAGGATGAAGTTGCGAAGGATGAAAATGTTGCCATCAGATTTAGTGGTTTCTTTTTTATCTTCCTTCATGTTCGAGGATTTTTATTATTCTTTTTACTTGTAATAATATTTTTTAAGGGACATTTTAACTCCCAACCAATTGTAAACACCATCAGCTGAGTACTAATCAGTTTGACAAAAGGTAAATCGAATAAAAAACAAATAACAAGTAAGATGAAAATGGATGAGGATAAAGATGAAGATGAGTAGGTTGAGATGGAAGTGGAAGTGGTCGGAGAAAAGGTGAAAGCTCTGTAAAAAAATAAAGAAAATAACAGAACATCAATTTCTTTATAACAATTTCCTATTCTCTGAGGAAAAGAGTTCGACTCATTTTCATTTCTTACCTCAGCTTCTTTATCTGTTTATCTGTTGTTCTGATGAAGACAATGTGCAGAAAGAGTGATAAACAAGAGATGATTTAGATGATGAAAAGATGCTGAGAAAGGTTAAAATGAAGAGATGAAGATTCTCAAATCGAAGGTTAAATAAAAAATGATAACAAAAGCAACAGGCTAACAAGCATTGATAAATATTCGAGGTTGTATTCAGGTTACAGTGTGTTTATCAATGTAGAAGTTGGAAAAAAGTGTTGAAATGGTTTTTCCATTTCAAAAGAAACAGTTTTTTTCTTCTTCTTCAATAAAAATACAGTTATCTTTATCTCCATCTTCATCCTCATCTTTGTATCGTTCAACTCGTATGATGTTAAACTGAACACAGATCAAAAAGCAGAAAAGGTTTTCTCCACATTCGAGTTGAAGGTTTTATTTGCTTTTCTTTCTGAGAGATGATTCAAAGATGAGAAAAGTGTTCGAGAGAGAAAGATGAGGATGAAATGTATTCACCTTTTACAAGAGAAAAGAGCAAAAAGATAAAATTAGATGAGTTTTCAGGGTATTTATCGAATAAAGAAAGAGAAATCGAAGGATTTCGATTTTAGAAAAAATGATAAGTGAAAGTAGTTTAGAAGAGGAAAAGAGAGAGAGATGAGAGATGATAAGGTGAAGAGAGATGAGAGAGGATGGATTTGGATGAAAAGGATGAGATGATGTGCAATACACTCGGAGGATGATGGAGATGAAAAAGAAAGATAATGCAAAGTGTCCCATAGAGAGTGAGGATGATGATGATTATGATGTAAATGGATGAGAAGACAATTATCAGAATGAGAGAGATGGAAACAAATATTATCATAAAGATAAAAAGTAAAAAATGTCAACAAAACGATGACAAAAAGATAAAGAAAAGTGATGAAGATGAAATAGGTAAGTGAAGAAGGAGAATGAAGAATGGAAGATGAGAAGATGAGAAGATGATGAATTTCATGTTTTACAATCTTTTCCAGTGAGTATCAGTTGCCCATGTACATTAATCATCTCTTTGTCGTCTTCACCTTCATTCTTTACATGATGATCATCGTGAAATCATCAATTGAACTTTTGATCACGTGTAAAACTGTCTTTGTGTTTATCCATGAACAAGTTAATTAGTTAATTGTCTCACTGATGTTGCTTCTAAATTGATTATCTCTCAATGGTTTATTTTTGATTGCGATCATTTGGATTCATTTAGATTAGAAAACTTCATCTGATTAATCATGATTATTATTAGATCCATGATAATGGTAATGATGTTTTGGTGAAAACTTTTGACCAATTCAAGATGAAGACGAGTTAACTAATCGTCATCATCTTTCACCATCAATTATCAGCCATCTATTTTCCTCTGTCTATTTCGATTATATTCTTATCATCTTATTCTGAATCATTTCTAACTTTCATTCTTTCCTAGCCACTTTCTCTCTCTCTCATTCTCATTCCCATTCTCCTTTTCTTCACTTAAACTCATAAATTGGTTATTGGTAAGATGGAGATGATGATGTGGATGCTTAATGGCTGTTAGGATGTTGATATAAGGCAAATGTGATATTATTCGAGTCCCAATAACATTCCGTCAGGAGAAATCCGGTAACTAGGTACTTCCAAGATGCTGGAAGAAGATGAATACATAAAGTGAGAGTATAAAAGAAAGACAAAAGAATTCTGCAAATTAGAATCAAGAGAGAGATAGAAGGAGAGAGAGATATAAGGAAGATAAAGGTTCACTTTCATCGATTTTCTCTCATCCTCCTTCATCTTTTTCCTCCTCACTCCCACTTCTACTCCCAACCTTCTATCTTCTTCTCTCTTCCTCTTACTTTTCATTACCTCAACTTTGATCATTGATACAAAAGCCTCTTTATGGTTACAAGTGAACCTAAACATCAACATCATGATCCTGAATCAAACATCCATCGAATTCTAGATAACAGAATTTTTTTCTTCGCTTCTTTCATTTCCTCCAAAGAGATTGAACCTTTTTATCCGCTTTGCTTATGGAGATGATGAAGAAAAGTGAAAGACAAGAAGAAGGGAAAACGACAGAAAAAAAGGTAGAAAGAAAGTTTCGCCTGTGAGAATAACAGTAAACAGAATTTGTTCCAAGGAAAAGAGGAAAAAGATGAAGGAAGAAGATGATGAAAGAAAAGGAAACTTAGGTAGAAAAATGAGCTTCCAGGTAGAGACAGAAATTGTTGCTTCGATCCATTAAAGAAAAGAAGATTCTTAAAGAGGATGAGAGTTAGAAGGTAAAGTTGGTAATGGAAAAAATAAAAGTGAGAGTAAGAGGCATAAGAAGATGAGATGGATGAGGAAAAGAAGAGAAAAGGTTGATGAAGATGATGAAGATGATGAAGGCCAGTTAAAGGGAGAAGATTGGAAAGCCCTGAAGAGAAAAGAATGGAAACAATAAAGAAGAAGAATGATGAAAGATGATGAAAGAAGAGGGAAGAAGAAAAAGAGAAGATGAGGATAAAATGAAGATAGAGAAATGAAAGATGAGAGAGAAAATTTGTGGAAAGATGAGCTTGGGATGAAGAAGAAGATGAAGATGATCAAAGGTAAGTTGAGGTTATTATTTTAGGTCAGAACAGGACAAAAGATGTTTTTCTTTTTCTTCTCTTTTTGCTTCTTTTTCTCATCTAACAAATTACATGAAAGAAGATGAGAAAAGATCTGAAAAACACAGACAAACATCATCTTCATCATTGTATCTCCATCCTCATCCCTTCTTATAGGTTTTACATTGGAAAAAGCAACTAACAATTACTTTTACTGTTAACTGATAATAAGAGTTACCAGTTTTTATCAATAGGACTTTGAAAGTTTGATGTCTTAAAGGGATGAGGATGAAAAGATAAGAAGATAAAAAATATATTCGACTTATTGATGCTCATCATCCCATTCTC